AATATATAAAGTATTGAATGAATAAATACAGTATTAAATAAATAAATAAAGTATCAAAGAAATAAATAAAGTATCAAACAAATATATAAAGTATCAAAGAATTAAATAAAGTATCAAACAAATAAATAAAGTATTAAACATATATAATGTATCAAACAAAAAAAGAAAGTATCAAACAAATATATAAAGTATCAAACAAATATACAAAGTATCAAAGAAATAAATAAAGTATCAAACATATAAATAAAGTATCAAACAAATATATAAAGTATCAAAGAATTAAATAAAGTATCAAACAAATAAATAAAGTATCAAACAAATATAATATATCAAACAAAAAAAGAAAGTAAAGTATCAAAGAATTAAATAAAGTATCAAACAAATAAATAAAGAATCAAACAAATAAATAAAGTATAAAACATCCCACTCCCACTGCTGATAGTGATGTTTCGAACTGGTTGTGCACTGAAATAAATGTAAATCTAAATAAACTGCAAGTGATTTCATGGCAGGTGATAGACCAACCAAGTAATTATGTTGCGGTTGTTTCAATAAAAACACTATGCCACGCCCACTAACGGACGACTTTCGCAAACTGTGGTGCATAATTGCACTGAATGCTGTCACCGATTTCGCGGTGTCACTTCTAAAAACCTCCCTTGCATGGTGTGATGGTGTCAGTTCAAAACCTCCCTTGCATGGTGTGATGATGCCAATTCAAAACCTCCCTTGCATGGTGTGAAGGTGTCAGTTCAAAACCGCTCTTGCATGGTGTGATGATGCCAATTCAAAACCTCCCATGCATGGTGTGATAGTGTCAGTTCAAAACCTCCCTTGCATGGTGTGATGATGCCAATTCAAAACCTCCCTTGCATGGTGTGATGGTGTCAGTTCAAAACCTTCCTTGCATGATGTGATGGTGTCAGTTCAAAACCTTCCTTGCATGGCGTGATGGTGCCAGTTCCAAAACTTCCCTTGCATGGTGTGATGGTGTCAGTTCAAAACCTCCCTTGCATGGTGTGATAGTGTCAGTTCAAAACCTCCCTTGCATGATATGATGGTGTCAGTTCAAAACCTCCCTTGCATGGTGTGATGGTGTCAGTTCAAAACCTCCCTTGCATTGTGTAATGGTGTCAGTTCAAAACCTCCCTTGCATTGTGTGATGGTTTCAGTTCAAAACCTACCTTGCATGATGTGATGGTGTCAGTTCAAAACCTCCCTTGCATTGTGTGATGATGCCAATTCAAAACCTCCCTTGTATGGTGTGAAGGTGTCAGTTCAAAACCTCCCTTGCATGGTGTGATGATGCCAATTCAAAACCTCCCTTGCATGGTGTGATAGTGTCAGTTCAAAACCTCCCTTGCATGGTGTGATGGCGTCAGTTCAAAACCTCCCTTGCATGGTGTGATGGTGTCAGTTCAAAACCTCCCTTGCATTGTGTGATTGTGCCAGTTCAAAACCTTCCTTGCATGGTGTGATGATGCCAATTCAAAACCTCCCTTGCATGGTGTGAAGGTGTCAGTTCAAAACCTCCCTTGCATGGTGTGATGATGCCAATTCAAAACCTCCCTTGCATGGTGTGATAGTGTCAGTTCAAAACCTCCCTTGCATGGTGTGATGGCGTCAGTTCAAAACCTCCCTTGCATGGTGTGATGGTGTCAGTTCAAAACCTCCCTTGCATGGCGTGATGGTGCCAGTTCCAAAACTTCCTTGCATGGTGTGATGGTGTCAGTTCAAAACGTCCCTTGCATGGTGTGATAGTGTCAGTTCAAAACCTTCCATGCATGGTGTGATGGTGTCAGTTCAAAACCTTCCTTGCATGATGTGATGGTGTCAGTTCAAAACCTTCCTTGCATGGCGTGATGGTGCCAGTTCCAAAACTTCCTTGCATGGTGTGATGGTGTCAGTTCAAAACCTCCCATGCATGGTGTGATAGTGTCAGTTCAAAACCTCCCTTGCATGGTGTGATGATGCCAATTCAAAACCTCCCTTGCATGGTGTGATGGTGTCAGTTCAAAACCTTCCTTGCATGATGTGATGGTGTCAGTTCAAAACCTTCCTTGCATGGCGTGATGGTGCCAGTTCCAAAACTTCCTTGCATTGTGTGATGGTGTCAGTTCAAAACCTCCCTTGCATGGTGTGATGGCGTCAGTTCAAAACCTTCCATGCATGGTGTGATGGTGTCAGTTCAAAACCTTCCTTGCATGATGTGATGGTGTCAGTTCAAAACCTTCCTTGCATGGCGTGATGGTGCCAGTTCCAAAACTTCCTTGCATGGTGTGATGGTGTCAGTTCAAAACCTTACTTGCATGATGTGATGGTGTCAGTTCAAAACCTTCCTTGCATGATGTGATGGTGTCAGTTCAAAACCTCCCTTGCATGGTGTGATAGTGTCAGTTCAAAACCTTCCATGCATGGTGTGATGGTGTCAGTTTAAAACCTCCCTTGCATGATATGATGGTGTCAGTTCAAAACCTCCCTTGCATGGTGTGATGGTGTCAGTTCAAAACCTCCCTTGCATTGTGTAATGGTGTCAGTTCAAAACCTCCCTTGCATTGTGTGATGGTTTCAGTTCAAAACCTACCTTGCATGATGTGATGGTGTCAGTTCAAAACCTTCCTTGCATGGTGTGATTGTGCCAGTTCAAAACCTTCCTTGCATGGTGAGATGATGCCAATTCAAAACCTCCCTTGCATGGTGTGAAGGTGTCAGTTCAAAACCTCCCTTGCATGGTGTGATGATGCCAATTCAAAACCTCCCTTGCATGGTGTGATAGTGTCAGTTCAAAACCTCCCTTGCATGGTGTGATGGCGTCAGTTCAAAACCTCCCTTGCATGGTGTGATGGTGTCAGTTCAAAACCTCCCTTGCATGGTGTGATGATGCCAATTCAAAACCTCCCTTGCATGGGGTGATGGTGTCAGTTCAAAACCTTCCTTGCATGATGTGATGGTGTCAGTTCAAAACCGCCCTTGCATGGTGTGATAGTGTCAGTTCAAAACCTTCCATTGCATGGTGTGATGGTGTCAGTTCAAAACCTCCCTTGCATGGTGTAATGGTGTCAGTTCAAAACCTCCCTTGCATTTAGTGATGGTGTCAGTTCAAAACCTCCCTTGCATGATATGATGGTGTCAGTTCAAAACCTCCATTGCATGGTGTGATGGTGTCAGTTCAAAACCTCCCTTGCATGGTGTAATGGTGTCAGTTCAAAACCTCGCTTGCATTGTGTGATGGTGTCAGTTCAAAACCTCCCTTGCATGGTGTGATGGTGTCAGTTCAAAACCTCCCTTGCATGGTGTAATGGTGTCAGTTCAAAACCTCCCTTGCATTGTGTGATGGTGTCAGTTCAAAACCTCCCTTGCATGGTGTGATGGTGTCAGTTCAAAACCTCCCTTGCATGGTGTAATGGTGTCAGTTCAAAACCTCCCTTGCATGGTGTGATGGTGTCAGTTCAAAACCTCCCTTGCATGGTGTGATGGTGTCAGTTCAAAACCTCCCTTGCATGATATGATGGTGTCAGTGTCAGTTCAAAACCTCCATTGCATGGTGTGATGGTTTCAGTTCAAAACCTCCCTTGCATGGTGTGATGGTGTCAGTTCAAAACCTCCCTTGCATGATATGATGGTGTCAGTGTCAGTTCAAAACCTCCATTGCATGGTGTGATGGTTTCAGTTCAAAACCTCCCTTGCATGGTGTAATGGTGTCAGTTCAAAACCTCCCTTGCATTGTGTGCTGGTGTCAGTTCAAAACCTCCCTTGCATGGTGTGATGGTGTCAGTTCAAAACCTCCCTTGCATGGTGTAATGGTGTCAGTTCAAAACCTCCATTGCATTGTGTGATGGTGTCAGTTCAAAACCTCCCTTGCATGGTGTGATGGTGTCAGTTCAAAACCTCCCTTGCATGGTGTGATGATGTCAGTTCAAAACCTCCCTTGCATGGTGTAATGGTGTCAGTTCAAAACCTCCCTTGCATGGTGTGATGGTGTCAGTTCAAAACCTCCCTTGCATGGTGTGATGGTGTCAGTTCAAAACCTCCCTTGCATGATATGATGGTGTCAGTGTCAGTTCAAAACCTCCATTGCATGGTGTGATGGTGTCAGTTCAAAACCTCCCTTGCATGATATGATGGTGTCAGTGTCAGTTCAAAACCTCCATTGCATGGTGTGATGGTTTCAGTTCAAAACCTCCCTTGCATGGTGTAATGGTGTCAGTTCAAAACCTCCCTTGCATTGTGTGCTGGTGTCAGTTCAAAACCTCCCTTGCATGGTGTGATGGTGTCAGTTCAAAACCTCCCTTGCATGGTGTAATGGTGTCAGTTCAAAACCTCCATTGCATTGTGTGATGGTGTCAGTTCAAAACCTCCCTTGCATGGTGTGATGGTGTCAGTTCAAAACCTCCCTTGCATGGTGTAATGGTGTCAGTTCAAAACGTCCCTTGCATGGTGTGATGGTGTCAGTTCAAAACCTCCCTTGCATGATATGATGGTGTCAGTGTCAGTTCAAAACCTCCATTGCATGGTGTGATGGTGTCAGTTCAAAACCTCCCTTGCATGGCGTGATGGTGTCAGTTCAAAAACTTCCTTGCATGGTGTGATTGTCTTGATACCATTTATATATTTGCGATGATTTGTGTGGAGGTTTTTTTTGAATATCTCTTTGGGGATGTAAAAATGTTGCAAATTAAGTGCGTTTTTGTGTATTGTTTCTGTGTGTTTTATTGACTTTCAAGCGAATTCTTTCTTCTGCTTCCTAACCAAACGAAAATAATCGATCCTCATTTAGTCCCAATCATTATGAAACATTATAAAACTCAAACGAATAACACCAACATATCATCAGAAAACATGGTATATATCTGGAAATTTGTAAACATACCTATAAAGTTGATGAGTAAAGTGTATGTGGACTCAATACCTTTGAACGCAAATATTATTATACACCAGCTGTTGCGATATCACCGCTAAACCGCGTTTGGATTACCTGAACCCCAATTGATTTTCTACCTTACAGTCCGACCGGCAGCGATGTACATCTATCCACGTCACTTCGTTACATTTTCGATAACAGATCCTGTCATGTTGAACACAGAATCTATATACAAACCTGTTGCGTGTTCCGCTGAATAGTCAGATCACGTGACCGAGTTGTCAACGTACGTGTCGGAGGAAGATGAACGCTGCATGGTGACAAAACGCGGATATGTGCACCAAGGTGAGTGTGACCGGACTTGAATATTGTAAAGGGGAATCTGGCTGCAGTGTGGATGTAGCGTTCGCGCAGTGACTCATTCAATGCTTTATAATGTTGTGTTGTTTTTTTAACACGGGACTTTATACAATTTATTGTAACCCAGGTTTGGGTGTCGTGCATGTATTTTGTGTGTATGTGTTGGGAAAAGGGTAGCTGTGTACAAAGTAGACACAATTTATAGGTAACAACTTCGTTGTTTACTGATGTCCATAAATTGTGTCTACTTTGTCATCCGTCAACGTCTAGGGAATTCCTATCAAACAATTCGTAGCTGTGTTCTTATAGACCAGCGGATTAGGGATAGTCATGGTGGAGCAGTAATATTTCGAAATTTCATTCACTTTTGAACAAAAGGCATGTGTCATGTCACCCCGACCCCCCCCCCCCCCCCCCCCCCCCCCCCCCACACACACACACACACACACACACACACACCCCATCTATCACAGTGTGCAGCTAGGTACCAGTTTGTACCAAAATGTATTTAGATAAACGTGCCTTTTTTACACGTTTATCTAAATACATTTTGCCGTCTATGGTCAAACTTTTCCAAATTGGACAGTTTGTACCTATCTCTAAATATCTACAGCGGGTATCCCGTTAGGGTCGGGTAATAGGGTGGTGGGTACCCGGGTAGTACATTTGGACTCGTCCCAGCCCTAGTCTGTAGTTCCATCGGGGCGATGACGATCCGAGCACAAGAAATATTGAAAGATGATGGGGATTTACCCTACCTAATATAGTAAGGTATAGTTACTGGTATGCAATGTCAAGAATCTATAATGAAACAAATATACCATTGCATTATTACATTTACTGTCTACGATGAGCTGCACTTTATCTAACACATATCACACAGCCCAATCGTATACCTTTAAGTTGTTAGGGCAGACCACAATCAAAGTGGGGGGCACGGGTGGACCAGTCGTCTAAGGCGCTGCGATTCGCTGTGCAGAGTTGCGTCCCTTGGGCACGCCAGAAACCTATGATTGTGGGTTCAAATCCCGGTTCGCCCCGATTATGTTTCTAGGTTTGTCAGCACCATACCCGAGCTCGTGGGTTTCCCCGAAGTGGTAAACGTCTGAGACCTGCAACACTTCGGGCTTTCCTCCCACATTTAGCTGACACGCCGCGATATAACTGGAATACTGTTAAAAGCGGCGTTTAACCCAACTCACTCACTCACTCTTCAGCAACCCATGCCTGCCGTAAAAGGCGACTATGCTTGTCTAACGGGATCGGGTGGTCAGGCTCGCTGACTTGGTTGATGCATGTCATCGTATCCCATTTGCGTAGATCGATGCTCATAATATCAATCACTGGATTGTGTGGCCCAGACGCGATTATTGACAGACCTCCGCCATATAGGTGGAATATTGCTCAGTGCAACTTAAAAAACAGACTTGAATCTCAACTGTGACATCTATGGGACAATCTGAACGTGTACGTACCGGTTCGATATGAGCCGTATGTTGTGCCGGAAAAAATGTTTTGGCGGAAAATGATCAATATTGCCCGTATTACATTACACATTTAATGTTATATATTTGGATTCTTCATGTACTACACTCCAAATGAACGACTTTTTCCTCGTTTTGATCCAATAATAACAGTCGCCAATATTTCCTATCGTGTACTTCAATTCATTTTCTGCAAACTCCACAGTTTGCACGCTGCCGGTAGAGCCGGGCGTGTTTGCTGTTTTCGCAACACCTGGTGTCATTACTGATTTTCAGTGATCCATATCTATTTAATTATTTGATTAGTGATATCGTGTGCAAAGCCTAACGCCAATTTTCGTGTTCTTATTATGTGTGTACTTACATGTTATAGTTTGTCTGTTTGTATGTACTAGATGCGGACTGATGCCGATTTTATAGTGCTAGCCCACTGAGATACCATACCGCAGTTAAACATGAATACCCCACTCAGACACAGTATACTGACTATGAGCCGACTCGTCTTTGTTTAGCCCCTTAATGCCAAGCGCCAGTCAGGGTAACAACAAGTTCCATTTTTTTAACGCCTTTGGGGATGACGCGGCCTGGGATCGAACCAACGACCTTCCGCTCTCCGGGGGAATCTCTACCACTAGACCACTGAGGCGTCCTCTAAGTGATAAGTGATATCATATTAAGTTTATATGTACATTATACAATGGTGAATGCGAATATCTGAAAGATTTTTTTATATGCATATGAGGTAAAAGAAATCATAGATTGGTTTAAAAAATGGCATGAAGACATGTTAAAGTAGATATCATATATAAAGCATATAAAGATATAAATACACTCACTCTCACTTAGAATTCGGAAATCTTTTGATAATACACTACCAAAAATACAAAATATGATATATGGTGAAGACCAGGAATCTTACAGGGATAAATGAAGAAATTGAAGCCAATAGCAGCTTTTATAATAAAAATTATCAATTTAACATATTTAGAAATTATGTATATCTACATGTCTCTCTCCTCTTTCATTACCTAGTCACCTGGATTTGTAAGGGAATGTGAAAAATCGTGTTTTTGTTGTCGATAAAAGAAAAAAGGTTTATTGATATATATGTTCAAACGGATCTATATTATTAATAAGATAGAGCTTGAGTGGCGGACCTCATGCAACGACAGGACAATATTAACTAGGGTGTCACGTGATTAATTGCACCTGCCTCAGGTATATTTGTCTCACTGTCTCTGGTTTCATATCTGAAAAGATGGTATAAAGGTTACAGTGCCCTAATTGATATTTACAAACATTCCTCTGATATTTATATGCAGTGCCTGTGTTGGATTTCCCTTGTCCATTTATTACATTTTAAGTCTGCATTGGTGATAAATACACATCGTGAAGTATTGACGTTATATACACAACGTGAAGTATTTGAGCATACACGTCGTGAAGTAATGACGTTATATACACAGCGTGAAGTATTGACGTTATATACACAGCGTGAAGTATTGACGTTATATACATATTGTGAAGCATTGACGTTTTAACACATTGTGAAGTATTGACCTTATATGCGCATTGTGAAGTATTGACTTTATATGCACATTGTGAAGTATTGACGTTATATGCACATTGAGAAGTATTGACGTTATATGCACATTGTGAAGTATTGACGTTATATGCATAGCGTTAAGTATTGACAATATATGCGCATCGTGAAGTGTTGACACTGTATACGCATCGTGAAGTAATGACGTTATATACACAGCGTGAAGCATAACGCTATATACACATTATGAAGTATTAACGTAATATAAACAAGGTGAATCATTGACGTTATATACACATTGTGAATCATTGACGTTATATGCACATTGTGAAGTATTGACGTTATATGCACAGCGTTAAGTATTGACACTGTATACGCATCGTGAAGTAATGACGTTATATACACAGCGTGAAGCATAACGTTATATACACATCATGAAGTATTAACGTTATATACACAAGGTGAAGCATTGACGTTATATACACATTGTGAAGTATTGACGTTATATACACATTGTGAAGTATTGAAGTACTAGTATTTGTGGGAGGAAAGGGCGGGGTGATGCAGGTTTACCACATTCTGTGGAACCCACAAGCAAGGACATTGTGCTGACAAACTTTGTAATATAACCTGAATGTACCTGAGCTTCGAACCCACAATCAGAGGTTTCTTTTACGCCCTAGGGACGCAACTCTGCATAGTAAATGACATACAATTATATTGAACACAATGATATTTATGCAAAGCAAATACCATGTTTATATCTATAATAATAATTTATACCATTTAATATATCTATCCTGCCTATAATCAACTCAATCCTGTACCACTGAACCGTAGACATGGCATTCATGCTTGTTAGTTTCAGGAAGGTAGTTTCAAAAATAACACACCTTCAGAAACAAATATATGAGGAAGTTTCCTTGTGAATACTGACCTGTGACGTTTAATCTGTTCATTTCTTGGATTAACGATTAACGTCGTGTTATTCAAATCAGGCATTTAGGTCAAGGGTATTTATAATAAGATTAAGATATAATACACTGATCGAGGAGAAGGTGAATAAGGACCGGATTAAACCATTTGATCAATTCCAAATAATTTTATTTTATTTTTGGGGGGGTGAGTAATTTTTTTAGTATTTACATGTAAATTAAAATTCATATTTCGAGTTTTCTTTCAACAACTCTATGGTGTTGGTGAAAAAATACCCATAAAATAAATACGTTTTAACGAGTCCTAACATCAATATTGCAATCACGTAAGTCGTCAAGTTGTTGTTTACTTGCAGTCGACGTCGTCCTGGGGCTGAAAACACTTCTAACGTATGAACTAGACAGTGACGATGCGTCATGATTGGCAGTAATACAACACTGGGGAACTGATCAGGACCTTATCGGCATCTGTAGACAGGATACCAGTTGACCAAGCAATACACAAGTGGCAATGGCCATGGCATCGCCTCAAGAGGAGGACCCCCTGACAGAGGATCTCAACTGCCCAATATGTCTGGAACTCCTGAACGAACCAGTGACACTCTATAACTGTTTCCACTCGTTCTGTAGACGGTGTCTTCAGCAGTCGATTCTGGGGGCTCGGGAGACGTACAGGAATCCTTACGCATGTCCCCAATGTCGCCGTCGTTTCGTCCCCAGTGACGGCGACAAGGTGAACCACCACCTGCAGAACATCGTCAACAGTCACCGGAAGGCGCAGGAAAGAATAGCGGAAATACGTCAGTACGAAATGCAAGATTTGAAGTCACAGTCACGTGGTGGAGCGGTTGCTGCTGCTGAAACAACTGAGAAGCCATCGAAGGTTGAATTTGATGTAGGTATTACTTTGTCAAAACTCATGTTTAAAAGGGGTGACTACAAGGGGAATCGGGTGGTCACACTATGCGACCAAGCTAATTGTTTGTCATCGTGCCCCAGTGGTGCGGGTCGATGCTCATTCTGTCAACCACTGGTTTGTGTGGTCCATAGTCGATTGCTCACAGGGCGCCATGGCTGTAGTTGCTTACTATAGCGTAAAACAACATTCACTCACATTCAGGCTGTTGTAAATTCTTTTTCACCATCCGTAGTCCTTAGTGCTATAAAGAGAAATTCACATATCTGATTTGCAGTTGTATTCTTTTTTTAAACTATGTTTTGACATTTCCCAAAATATCGATTAGAATCACATCTCTATGTGATGTTTATGTTCATATAAGTGGAATCATTCTATTTTTTGTCCAGCACCTCACATCCTTCCTGTCGACAGTGGACACGAAGCTGCAGTCTCTGCTGACCGCCCTTGACCAGTCCAGTATTAATGCAGGAGGAATGCGAAAGGTGCGGTCTCATGTGAATATGTGTGTGTCGGGGGTTGTGTGTTAGCTACCTGCTCTGTGTTGGGTGTTGTGTGTTAGCTACCTGCTCTGTGTCGGGTGTTGTGTTAGCTACCTTCTCTGTGTCGGGTGTTGTGTGTTAGCTACATGCTCTGTGTCGGGTGTTGTGTGTTTGCTACCTTCTCTGTGTCGGGTGTTGTGTGTTAGCTACCTGCTCTGTGTCGGGTGTTGTGTTAGCTACCTTCTCTGTGTCGGGTGTTGTGTGTTAGCTACATGCTCTGTGTCGGATGTTGTGTGTTAGCTACCTTCTCTGTGTCGGGTGTTGTGTGTTAGCTACCTGCTCTGTGTCGGATGTTGTGTGTTAGCTACCTGCTCTGTGTCGGATGTTGTGTTAGCTACATGCTCTGTGTCGGGTGTTGTGTGTTTGCTACATGCTCTGTGTCGGGTGTTGTGTGTGAGCTACCTGCTGTGTGTCGGGTGTTGTGTGTAAGCTACCTGCTCTGTGTCGGGTGTTGTGTGTTAGCTACCTGCTCTGTGTCGGGTGTAGTGTGTTAGCTACCTGCTGTGTGTCGGGTGTTGTGTGTTAGCTACCTGTTTTGGGGTAGGTGTTGTGTGTTAGCTACCTGCTCTGTGTCGGGTGTAGTGTGTTAGCTACCTGCTGTGTGTCGGGTGTTGTGTGTTAGCTACCTGCTCTGGGGTAGGTGTTGTGTGTTAGCTACATGCTCTGTGTCGGGTGTTGTGTGTTAGCTACCTGCTCTGTGTCGGGTGTTGTGTGTTAGCTACCTGCTCTGGGGTAGGTGTTGTGTGTTTGCTACATGCTCTGTGTCGGGTGTTGTGTGTTAGCTACATGCTCTGGGGTAGGTGTTGTGTGTTAGCTACCTGCTGTGTGTCGGGTGTTGTGTGTGAACTACCTGCTCTGTGTCGGATGTTGTGTGTTAGCTACATGCTCTGTGTCGGGTGTTGTGTGTTAGCTACCTGCTCTGTGTCGGGTGTTGTGTGTTAGCTACCTGCTCTGTGTCGGGTGTAGTGTGTTAGCTACATGCTCTGTGTCAGGTGTTGTGTGTTAGCTACCTGCTGTGTGTCGGGTGTTGTGTGTTAGCTACCTTCTCTGTGTCGGGTGTTGTGTGTTAGCTACCTGCTCTGTGTCGGGTGTAGTGTGTTAGCTACCTGCTGTGTGTCGGGTGTTGTGTGTTAGCTACCTGCTCTGGGGTAGGTGTTGTGTGTTAGCTACCTGCTCTGTGTCGGATGTTGTGTGTTAGCTACCTGCTCTGTGTCGGGTGTAGTGTGTTAGCTACCTGCTCTGTGTCGGGTGTTGTGTGTTAGCTACCTGCTCTGGGGTAGGTGTTGTGTGTTAGCTACCTGCTCTGTGTCGGGTGTTGTGTGTTAGCTACCTGCTCTGTGTCGGGTGTAGTGTGTTAGCTACATGCTCTGTGTCGGGTGTTGTGTGTTAGCTACCTGCTCTGTGTCGGGTGTAGTGTGTTAGCTACCTGCTCTGTGTCGGATGTTGTGTGTGAGCTACCTGCTCTGTGTCGGATGTTGTGTGTTAGCTACCTTCTCTGTGTCGGGTGTTGTGTGTGAGCTACCTGCTCTGTGTCGGATGTTGTGTGTTAGCTACATGCTCTGTGTCGGGTGTTGTGTGTTAGCTACCTGCTCTGTGTCGGATGTTGTGTGTTAGCTACCTTCTCTGTGTCGGGTGTTGTGTGTTAGCTACCTGCTCTGTGTCGGATGTTGTGTGTGAGCTACCTGCTCTGTGTCGGATGTTGTGTGTTAGCTACATGCTCTGTGTCGGGTGTTGTGTGTTAGCTACCTGCTCTGTGTCGGGTGTTGTGTGTTAGCTACCTTCTCTGTGTCGGGTGTTGTGTGTGAGCTACCTGCTCTGTGTCGGATGTTGTGTGTTAGCTACATGCTCTGTGTCGGGTGTTGTGTGTTAGCTACATGCTCTGTGTCGGATGTTGTGTGTTAGCTACCTTCTCTGTGTCGGGTGTTGTGTGTTAGCTACCTGCTCTGTGTCGGGTGTTGTGTGTTAGCTACCTGCTCTGTGTCGGGTGTTGTGTGTTAGCTACATGCTCTGTGTCGGGTGTAGTGTGTTAGCTACCTTCTCTGTGTGGGGTGTTGTGTGTTTCCTACATGCTCTGTGTCGGGTGTTGTGTGTTAGCTACCTGCTCTGTGTCGGATGTTGTGTGTTAGCTACCTGCTCTGTGTCGGATGTTGTGTGTTAGCTACATGCTCTGTGTCGGGTGTTGTGTGTTAGCTACCTGCTCTGTGGCGGGTGTTGTGTGTTAGCTACCTGCTCTGTGTCGGATGTTGTGTGTTAGCTACCTGCTCTGTGTCGGATGTTGTGTGTTAGCTACATGCTCTGTGTCGGGTGTTGTGTGTTAGCTACCTGCTCTGTGTCGGATGTTGTGTGTTAGCTACATGCTCTGTGTCGGGTGTTGTGTGTTGGCTACCTGCTCTGTGTCGGGTGTTGTGTGTTAGCTACATGCTCTGTGTCGGATGTTGTGTGTTAGCTACCTGCTGTGTGTCGGGTGTTGTGTGTTAGCTACATGCTCTGTGTCGGGTGTTGTGTGTTAGCTACCTGCTCTGTGTCGGGTGTTGTGTGTTTGCTACCTGCTCTGGGGTAGGTGTTGTGTGTTAGCTACATGCTCTGTGTCGGATGTTGTGTGTTAGCCAAATGCTCTGTGTCGGGTGTTGTGTGTTAGCTACCTGCTCTGTGTCGGATGTTGTGTGTTAGCTACATGCTCTGTGTCGGATGTTGTGTGTTAGCCACATGCTCTGTGTCGGGTGTTGTGTGTTAGCTACCTGCTCTGTGTCGGGTGTTGTGTGTTTGCTACATGCTCTGTGTCGGATGTTGTGTGTTAGCTACATGCTCTGTGTCGGATGTTGTGTGTTAGCTACCTGCTCTGTGTCGGATGTTGTGTGTTAGCTACCTTCTCTGTGTCGGGTGTTGTGTGTTAGCTACATGCTCTGTTTTGGGTGTTGTGTGTTAGCTACATGCTCTGTGTCGGGTGTTGTGTGTTAGCTACATGATCTGTGTCGGTAGTTGTGTGTTAGCTACCTGCTCTGTGTCGGATGTTGTGTGTTAGCTACCTGCTCTGTGTCGGGTGTTGTGTGTTAGTTACATGCTCTGTGTCGGATGTTGTGTGTTAGCTACCTACTCTGTGTCGGGTGTTGTGTGTTAGCTTCCTGCTCTGTGTCGGGTGTTGTGTGTTAGCTACATGCTCTGTGTCGGATGTTGTGTGTTAGCTACCTGCTCTGTGTCGGGTGTTGTGTGTTAGCTACCTGCTCTGTGTCGGATGTTGTGTGTTAGCTACCTGCTCTGTGTCGGGTGTTGTGTGTTAGCTACCTGCTCTGTGTCGGGTGTTGTGTGTTAGCTACATGCTCTGTGTCGGGTGTTGTGTGTTAGCTTCCTGCTCTGTGTCGGGTGTTGTGTGTTAGCTACCTGCTCTGTGTCGGATGTTGTGTGTTAGCTACCTGCTCTGTGTCGGGTGTTGTGTGTTAGCTACCTGCTCTGTGTCGGGTGTTGTGTGTTAGCTTCCTGCTCTGTGTCGGGTGTTGTGTGTTAGCTACCTGCTCTGTGTCGGGTGTTGTGTGTTAGCTACATGCTCTGTGTCGGGTGTTGTGTGTTAGCTACCTGCTCTGTGTCGGGTGTTGTGTGTTAGCTACCTGCTCTGTGTCGGGTGTTGTGTGTTAGCTACCTGCTCTGTGTCGGGTGTTGTGTGTTGCTTGCTCAAGTTGTTGTGTGGCGTGTGTGCCCTGGGACAAGTGCTGTTTTAATTATTCATAATACATAGAAATATAACTTGTAACAAATGTTATATTTAGATGACACTTTCTTGGTAAAGTACAGATTATCGTACTTTTTTTGGTTGAGTCCAATCCGTGTGTACTGGCGTGACTTGTGTGCTGGCGATTAGGTGCCTCACTCAGGCTGTGTGGGTTCGAAACCCGGACGGGACTCAACCCCAAAAAGGTATATTTAATGTAACATTTGTTACATTTGACCACTTTCTAAATGGCATTGTGTGTTAAAATATAATTTGAGTAATAGTGTTGGAATAAGGAAACTTCGGGTAAGCAACTGAGCCTTGTCCTAATGTCGTACCTGTCTAACCTGTACTAAGCTGGTTCACTGTCATGGTAGCACGTGCACGACGCACGGGAAGGTAGCATTGTTTCAAAGTTTCAGATATTCGTATACATACCTGGTCGTCACTTTCATCGAAAAAACACAAAACCACGATGTTATAAAGCCTTTTTATGTTGCCTTCGCCGCCAGGGGGTATCAGATAAGTCATCAGAACATTCCACCATTGTGTCCGAACGAGTACAAGACCATCCTCGGCCATCGGTGGAAGAAGTCAACAGGACACAACCACCCAATACACAAGAACACCACATCGGTAACATTAACAAAAAAGCATTTTAATTAAATTGTTTTTATCTCTGATGTAAATTTTGGTTAACTATTATAGGTATTAGGAAACAGGCATAACATACTATGAGAAGTATATGGTTGGGTGGGTGCGTGAGTGTATGAATGAGTGTATGAGTGAGAAAGGTTTTCCGCCAGAGATGGGCTTAACGCATTGTAGGGCGGTCGGGTAGCCTAGTGGTTAAAGCGTTCGCTCGTCACGCCGAAGACCCGGGTTCGATTCCCGACATGGGTACAATGTGTGAAACCCATTTCTGGTGTCCCCCGCCGTGATATTGCTGGAATATTGCTAAAAGCGGCGTAAAACCATACTCACTCACTCACTCACTTAACGCATTGTACCATTTGTGGAATCGAACCCAGGACTTCGGTGTGGTGAGCGAACGCTTTAATCACCTGGCTACCCCAACGCCCCTCTTTCACTGGATATTGTTCGACACTTCCGAACTAACTCTGGTACTTTTATTGGGTTTTTTTCCCCAATTATTTTTTAAAGCTATCTTTCAAAATGATCAGTTCTGTTTAGATTTAAGATTCTTTTAAGCAACCTAAACGCCAGAGAATAATAAGTCTCGACTATCTGCAGCAACTGATTTTAGTGGGCGTAAAACAGGGATGAAAATTATATGAATTGATCACTGAAAATCGGTGATGACACCAAATAATGTCAGCATAATGTTTTCCGTTTTATGCTCCAGATTGTGACTTTGAAGCAGAATCAGTTGGCGAGTTCCTGGAGCGATCTTTGGTAATAATCAAGAAACACTTCCTTCTGATCATGTTTCTCATACACGCATGCGCACTGATCTTCTGTTTCCTGATGGGTGTGTTGTGACCATGGTGACACGTGACACGACCAAGTTTGTTTGCATGACTACTGTGTCCTGTGTTTTCACGTGTGTCCGCTCTGCATGATGCAATGCACACGAACCAACGTCTTTCATGTGGCAAATGGAATAGCAGTTTTTTACCTACACAAGCATGACCAGGCTTATGAACTCAATCAAAGACAAGTGGCACGTGAGAATAACGGTTGTTCGGTATATAATAAACTATACACCTCTTTGATTGTTTTTGATGACGTAATGTGTATTGGTGAATACCCACTACAAGTAGTGATCGTCACAACTCAATGCATTATATTTGATAAATATGCACAATGTATTATGTCGCCTCTAGAGTTGCTTAAAAATATAACACATGCTATAGAATTTGTTTTGCTTCCACTCTATGGCGCATTTTGTTTGTCAGCACCTTGAGTGGTCAATGTGTGGCCGTGACAGCTTGTAGTTTCATATGCCATTAAGTTGCCGGGGCGTGTTGCATTGCCAGTGGTTAAAGCGTTCCTTCGTCAAGCCGAAGGCCCGTGTTCGAGTCTTTCAAGGCCCGTGTTCGAGTCCTCACAAGGCCCGTGTTCGAGTCTCACAAGGTCCATGTTCGAGTCTTTCAAGGCCCGTGTTCGAGTCCTCACAAGGCCCGTGTTCGAGTTTTACAAGGCACGTGTTCGAGTCTTACAAGACCCATGTTCGAGTCTTACAAGGCCCGAGTTTGAGTCTTACAAGACCCGTGTTCGAGCCTTACAAGGCCCATGTTCGAGCCTTACAAGACCCGTGTTCGAGTCCTACACGGAGCTCCTTCCCAGCGCGTGACCTCTTCGTTACCATCGCTGCCACTGGTGTGCAAGCGAACGTTACAAGAATCTTCAACGTTTTCCCTCGAACCCCAAATGTAGTGACATTATATATGTTTGTATGTCCTTAGGAATGTCACGTTAACTGGGAAAATTGTTACATCTAGCTTACTATTTCCCAAATACTGATGTATTTACGATTAATATGTTTAATCAGCTAAGATCGACTTTGCAAACTAACGGAAAATCACACAAAGGAACGGAACATATCTAATTAAATAGATTTCACACATTGTACCCATGTCGGGAATCAAACCCTGTGTGTCACGTGACCAAAACAGAACACAAATGCACGGCATCCATTTATCCGAAAAAAACACAACGTATAAGGCCATACTAAATCAATCCTTCGATTTCTCTTTCCCCACTCCACCCCACCCCACTTCACTCCGCCGCCCACACATCTACCCCCATCGCACCGTTTCACGTTACACAAAAACAGTGCGCCTCACAGTGTCTCCTTTCGTGAATTGATGAAACATGTATTACTCGAAGACACCCACAATTGGAGGCTGTTTGTTACAATACCCTCCAGCCATGGTGCACTAACTGAAGTCACATGAAAAAAATCGGGTGTTCCTTAACTTCTTTTGAGTAGTATACCATATACCAGGTTCTACCAAACGTGCATTCTTCACGTGAATCACTTGTGTCGACAGGTAATGTACACAGGTGCCTTGAACAGCTGATCTTAAATAAAGTATTAAAAAAAGGCCTGAAGTATATAGGTTTTTAAACACGAGTATTATGATATAAATCTAAAAATCAATTTATTGTAGCCCAATAAAATAAAAGTTATTGCTTAACATCCGTCAGAAGGGGATTCTGTCTATTAAGGCCGCAATGTCCACAAAAGCAACTGCTTTGAACGGTTACATGTTCTTCGTTGAATGTGGGCGGTCGGGTAGCCTAGTGGTTAAAGCGTTCGCTCGTCACGCCGAAGACCCGGGTTCGATTCCCGACATGGGTACAATGTGTGAAGCCCATTTCTGGTGTCCCCCGCCGTGATATTGCTGGAATATTGCTAAAAGCGGCGTAAAACCATACTCACTCCACTCCAGTCTTCGTTGAATGTGTCTGTGCCATGATAAAACGTACATTTTGTTCAGTATTCACGAGATAATTATGTGCAGTGTCGCAGAACACCTACCAAGGACTCTATCCACACGCTCTCTCAATATTGATTTGAAAATACACTGTCGGACAAAAGAAGATATACACCCACGTGTTATGGTGGCTAAGAATAAAACAAACAAAACCGATATGGTGCTGTATTTGATACGGGCACTAAACTTGCGTTTTGGACCTTACGTGTTTCGGCGACTGTTTTCATGAAAGTAACGCTTTGATAACGTTTGTAAGGTTTTGTCAAATCCAATTTTCAAGTGTATTCTTTTTGGGGGGCCCTTCAGGTTATGTGTGATGTTATTGACAGTAAAGTCGACAGTTGGATAGCCTACTTGTGAAAGCGTTCATTCGTCACGCCAAGGACCCGGTTCGATGCTACACATTAGCCCAGACTTGACATGGCATACAATCCCCCACCTAACCCACCACACCACAGACCATGTTAATTGGTCTACGCCACAGTCAGTAACACAACAGCTTCATCACGCCGACCTGTAAATATTCGACAAACTAGTGGTTGATATTATGAGCAACGTCCCACGCAGCCGGGTCATGCTTACTTGCAATCAACCAAGTCATTCAGCCTGACCACCGTATCTAATTTAGTTGCTGGGGACTAATTCTAACCGCGGTCCCAACGGGTCGTCCTCACGGGTTGGTACAAGCAAACCCATCTCGTCTGTTGTATGAGGAGACCCTGACATTCGCCTTGCCTAGATTCTATAGTCGTGGGTTTTAATCCCATATACGTACCGACCTCTGATCTGTCATCACATACCCTTGCTTAAGGGTTTCACCGAAACGTCCTTTGATGTGCTTCTTAATCTGACACTTCTTAATCTGATGTTACTGAAACATTGATAAAGCGGGTAAAAAATCACTCTCACTACTTTACCCCGACAGACATTTTATCACAAATCTGTAAATTGTGAAATATTTCAAATGTGTCATAGATGTGTGTTACATGTCACTGCATCAGATTGAAACATGGACATGCATTTAATACCTGATGCAGAAGGTGCTGTTCCGTATAATAATCAATTGTAATTAGTCTCCAGGCGACTAGTATATGCAGCTGTCGCCATAGACGTTAACATTCGATATAAACAATAATTGCAGGGTCGCTTAGTGGGACGGGCCCCAGGGAATGATTAAATTAAAGAATCTGTATATGTGTGTTAGCAATGAGTCGTTTCGGACCGGAAATAACCATCACATTACATTCGTGATCTTCCGGCCAACCCCGAAGGATTCTGGAGTGGAATAGGTCCCCAGTTAGCTATTCTCGTCCATCATAAATAGATCGGATGTTCAGGCGTGTGACTTGGCTGATTGCTTGTCTGCTGGTCTTGCTCCAAGTCTGTACTGAATTAGGAGTCCATGGATGTATAGTAAGTCTAACCTTGTTATAGGCTGTCTAGATACGAGGACAGTACGTCTAAGGACGCCATTTATTTATAGGGAATTGTTCTGATTATTTTACTTGTCTGCGTGCCGCGATCTGGTATTCAAGATGGTAAAACTATATATATGTATATGTAGCGCTCCCTCACAATAATCTTCGCGTTCGCTGGAAAGATTTCATTATAGCATAACGAAGGAACGACGCTGTAAAGATATTTTTAACTCTCTAGCAGATTCCATATTTCTGGAATGGTGAAAAAATATAGTTATAGCATTGCCTCACAATACTACTGTATAGCATAACAAGGCAACGATGGCGAGGATTTTTGCCCGTGTTTTACTGAGTGAGTGAATTGGGTTTAACGCCGCTTTTAACAGTATTCCAGTTATATCACGGCTTAATGTGGGAGGAAAGTCCGAAGTGATGCAGGTCTCAGACGTTTATCACTTTGGTGAAACCAATGAGCACGGGTATGGTGCCCCCTAATGGGGGCGAACCGGGATTCGAACCCACAATCATAGGTTTCTGGCGTGTCCAAGGGACGCAACTCTGCACAGCGAATCGCGGCGCCTTAGACGACTGGGCCACTCATTAGTAGATGGTCACTCACTGATAATATCAATAACTGGCTTGTCTGGTCATCCATATACGACTAAAATAGTCCTGCCTATGACGTTAAAAAACATTCACGCACTCATTTGGGCCAACATATTGTGCTAGATTCAGGCGAGCAACGTTTCTTCCTGACATAATAGATTCAATAACAGCGTCCAGTTATGTTTCGCAATATGACGTTAATAACGAGTTTCGTAATTGTCTTTGTGATGCGATGAACCACAATGTCGTTATTACTTGCATAACTTGCTCTGAAGGATTAACGACCCACTATGACGTGTCTTTAAACTGTCACAAAGAGTCTCAAGTTACTGAATGTCCCCTGGGTCTTGAAAACGTGGAAGTCTGTGGGATATTTGCTTGAAGCAGGATATATTCTTCAGTCACTACTTCAAAACCTACTATTTTTACTCTGAAAATGGGAGCCGACCAATTTATTTTCACAACAAGCCTTTTTCAATATTTTCAGGATCCAAGTATTTATCCAAATAACAGCCAAACCACCTTTCCGTCTAATAAATCAAATGATCGGTCCATGTCACCACCTACGGTGTGTGATTGGCTTAAACTCATGCGTAACATGTCCAGCATTCATAATAATAATAATAATAATCTAAGCAATGGACCTAAAATCATATTTTCTTCTCTTTTCGTTTTTAAGCCTACAGTCTAAAACATGGGAAAAACGCGCCCTCCCGGTAACACTTCATCCCTGTGTTTGCAACTGTGACCATGACAGTTCAGACCTCCATAAGAGCCGACTGAATGATCCAGTCACAATGTTAACATTTCTCTCTTGTTTGTAGTCAGGGCGACCGGTCAGAGTGAGATGGGACCTCCTGTACACGGAGACAGATGACGTTTTGTGCTAGTCACGTGAGAAGCTTGTTCAGACCGGAAGTTGCGTGACGTCACGACCAAAGAATGCACAACATTTATCCGGAACTAAAGGCCACACCTGCAAATGCATTATCGGGAGAAGGCGATGCATCGTGACTCCTCAATATATTCAAACCAAAAAGCCGGAGGCCTGGGTTCGATTCCTGACGTGGGAACAATGCGTGAGGCCCATTTCCGGTGTCCCCGTCGAGATATTGTTGGGGTATAGCTAAAAGCATAAACCTTATTCACTCACACTCAGATATTCAGAAATGTGATACTTTTTACTCATATACACTTTCCATTCCATTGTATTATATTTTGAATCGAATCTCTGCAGGGAATCAGGGTTATAACAGGTCCCCAGCAACCTATGCTGGTCGTTATATATTCAAGAGGCCACTGGATGGATTGGAGGTCAGGCAGCGTGACTTGGGTGATTGCGTGTCATCGTACCCCGATGGAATGGATCGTTGCTCACAATATCGATCACTGGTCTGGCTGGTCAATTATTTACAGTCCGCCGCCATAGAGCTGAAATATTGCTGAGCGTTAAACAAACAAACAGAGTGAGGCGTTGGGTTTTAACATTATTCCAGTTATATCGCGGCGTGTCAGCTTTATGTTGAAGGAAAGCCCGAAGTGGTGCAGGTCTCAGACGTTTACCACTTCGGTGAAACCAACGAGCACGGGTAGGGTGTTGACAAACCTAGAAACGTAATTGGGGCGAGCCGGAATTCGAACTCACAATCATAGGTTTCTGGCATGCCCAGGGGACGTAACTCTGCACAGCGAATCGCGGCGCCATAGACGACTGGGCCAACCGTGCTCCCCACATCAAATGGAATATATAGAACACTGGAATATATTCCCGTGTCATGCTTATATCTGGTCTGTAAATCCAATTTGACTTTGTGATCAATGTATGACCGTGTAACAAATTGAAAATTTGAAAAATGGTAAAATAAACTAATTTATCTACAAACGCTGTGATGACTAATGAATTATTAAATTAATACATTTGGCTACAGAATGCTCGGCCTTGCACTTCAAAGAATTCCGCTTCAGTTTTGTCACCAACAACCAATTATTTTCATAATAGTCGACGTGAAATGACACTTAACGTCGCGTTCAAGATGATTGCTTTCATATCGCTGTCTGCATGCGTGTGTGTGTACTTGTAATTGCCGACTGAGACATCATGCCGCAACTAACATGGGTACCCCACTCAGGAACAGTATTCCGACCCCAGCCGACGAACCCTTGCGTCACCCCCTTAATCCCGAGCGCCAGATAGTGTAACAAGTACCAATTTTTAAATTCTTTGGGTACGACGCTCTCTGGTGTCGAACCATCGAACTTCCGCTATCCGGGTAGACGCTCTGTCCACTCGACCACGGAGTCGGTCGCTAGTCTAAGAGTAGTCTAAGACAAGGATCGAGTTAAAGGGTGTGCGCTGGTTCATTTTGTGTGTCATCGTACCCGACGGCGTGGATCGTTGCTCAAGCTATGTAACTCTGGTTTGCCGGGTACCGGTCCAGTCTCGATCATTAACAGGCCAACGTGCTCCGATAGAGCTGGAATATTGCTAATGAGTGGCGTAAACAACTTTCACACAATTTCCATCCTGGAGAAAATACACGATTAATTTAGTGATTCGTTCCCATTGCTTGTAAGGGTCGGTTAAGACGCCGGGTGGTGAGTCTCTGTGACCGTGCTGGGGATGGGATTGTGGCACTGTAAATAATCGAGTCTGGACCAGACAATCGAGTGATTGACCTCATGAGCATCCATCCACGCAGTTGGGACACGATGATATGCATCAAACGAGTCAGCAAGCCTAACCACTCGATCCCGTTAGTCGCCTCGACCTAGTCTCTACCCGGATCTTCACGGGTCGAACCGATGTTTATTCCATGCATTTGGTCAAGGAATGTAACTCGGTTCGTTTGCGTCGTCTGCTAGCTGCCCAAATGGCTGAACCAAAGCGTTTTACTCAGTGAAACTTTGGACATGTATTCCGGGTCTGTATGAATGAATGTCGGTGACATAAATTCGTTGTCAACCGATGAAGCCCAGCCTGTGTGTGAGCCTGGGTACCTAGGCTCCCACACAGGGTACATCACACCATACGCCCCTCGAGATCGGTTGACAACTTGTGTATTCTGTTCCCTTGTTTGGCGGGCCTGGGACAATGGGGTAGTGATTATAGTATCGAAGACTGGGTTCGATTCGCTACAAAAGCTCAATGTTTTAGTCCCATTATTGGCGTCCCCGGTCATATGGCTGAAGTATGTTAAATTACGATTATAACGAACTCAAAGGGGCCATTAATTGTTGTTTGTTTGTTTGTTGTTAAACGCCGCACTCAGCAATATGACGGCGATCTATAAATAATCGAATCTCGACCAGACAATCCAGTGATTGACATCATGAACATCGATCCAGGCAATTGGGATACGATGACATGCACCAACCAAGTCAGCGAGTCTGACCACCCGATCCCGTGAGTCGCCTCTTACGACAAGCATAGTCGCCTTGGGTTGCTGAAGACGTATTCTACCCCGGATCTTCACGGGTCCCATTAATTGTAGTTCGTTATATCCACAGTTCTTTATAAGCGTGTTTTTCAGTATTAAAATAAGCGTCGTAAAATCATACGCACGTTTTGACACTCCAAAATAAAGTACCCATACGGCAACGAGGGCAGTTATACCATCACAACTATATATATATGTACACACACACACACACACACACACACACACACACACACACACATATGTATCATTTAATAAAGCATCGTCAACTGGCGAATCAAGTCAGTGCATTGTAAATTAGATATGTTTGACTTTCGAAACAACTGTTTTACGATCTAATACACAAAGGGGAAGTAAATCTACTTCTGGGGTCCAAATGTTGATGGTGAAACGGGTATTCGGCACCGATCTACCTGGGTGTCGGAATGTGGATTGCAAAACGGGTAACCAGCAACAGTGCCACAACCGTTGCTATGTCCAATTAAATCCGTACAGAAGGCGGGTTGAATTGAAGTTGGTCACGTAACAAAACGTGTAATAAAACGAAGCGTGCGTAAAATATAAATAGCATTACTCCGTATTCGTAGTTCTCTCCACGTCTACCCACAGTGTGTAACCGTCACCGTTTAATTGATAAAAAGGGCATCCACCAATATCGGTTTGTTATATCTCCATATATAATATTGTGACAAATATCCTGGACCCCTTTGCTCTACCATACCGTCGTTATGAGCCTGATTCGAATGACAAGCCGCTTAACTGTCTGTCAAATAAACTATTTTCTCATGAACGAGAAAAATGACAATAGTCGTTTTGGGCCGTTTTTTTCATTATATAATGAATTATCAAAACGTTTGGCAATGTCAGTATATTCATGTTTTGGGCTTTTCATAGAACATGTGGATACAAAAATGTGAAAATAGTTATCTTGGGTCACAGACTTGCTCATAAATAGATTGTATTATGTTTGAAAAGTCTGCCCCTTTTAGCCATCTGAATATACCGGATGTTTTTTACACCTACATTTCAAAGTTTTCCTTAAATATAAAATATGACTTTTTCCAGTAAGCAAAAAAATGCCCCTTATCCTTCCCCGTCATCAGGGCTAAGTTAGTGACAAGAGGGGTGGAGAAAGTGACGAAACGAAGCTAACGAAGTCCACAGTATTCGTGTATATGATAAAACACGTCCGAGGGTTTTATGATATTTGAAACCACTATCATTGGGATAAAACCCCGGGGCGTCATATTTAAAACCCCTCTTATCATAAACCCCCTCCGGGCTGGACCCTTAATCCCCAGCGCTATCTATAAATGTCAATTAACTCCTCCTTACGTAGTCGGATCTTACGTATGGCCTATTATGAAATACAAATGCTTTATTATACTGCTATTTTCATTGTTCTTTTTAAAAATCACGTACATCTGTACAGTTATTATGTTTTAGTAAACAGTGAGAACATTTTCACTTTCTTCCCATAGGTTGAATTTGAAATGTGCCATAAAAAAATCTCAGCTCTCTTTTAAGACGGAAAGAAATCTCAGCTCCACAAAATGAAGAAAACAAAACATGGCACAGCCTAACCCAAACCCCCTAAATATCAAATGGTCCGCCCCTAATGAACTCCCCATGATGTGATAGCGGCACAAGAACGGCACACTCTAAGTTTAGTGTGTGTGTGTGTGTGTGTGTGTGTGTGTGTGTGTGTCCCCGTGAGTCTGTGACACCGGGCCCCTTCTATAATTTGAGCGAATTGGTTTTAACGCATCTTCCCGAGGCAAGGGCGTTAACTGACTATAGATAACACCCTTGCCTCGGGTAACATGATGTTATCTCCGCTTCACTTGATCAGCTATTCAGTTAAATCATGGTGAGCATGCATGTTGTGTAATGTAGACAGAAAGCCTGAACTAGCAAAGATAGTGGACGTCTACCACTGCAATGACGGGCCAAGGTTAATAATCGGCTTGACTCTTTGGTTCGAACACATGGCTAGCGGACACCTTATTCCACTTGGCTACCCGTGACCTCTACTGCATCCTAACGCACTCACCAACCGAGGACGATTTGCACATTATGAGACCGTTGTCTAGTGGATAGAGCGTCTGCCGGGAGCGCGGAAGGTCGGTGGTTTGATCCTCGTGTAAAAGAGGGTACTTGTTGTTTCCCTGTATGATGCTTGACATTAAGGTGATAAAACAAGAACTGGACAATCTCATTAGAATCAGATCTTAGGTGAAACAAGAACTTAGATGTGATTTTAATGAGATCGAGGACTGGTCGGCTCAGAGTCTGTATAATGTGTCTGAGTGGGGTATTCCCCATGTTACACTGCGGCATGGTATCTCAATGGGTACCGTTATAGAAACTATAAAACCGTCAGTAGTCATGACAAGTACAAGCAAACACAGGCGCGCGCACGCATACGTACATGTGTGTCGCTATATAAATGCAATAATCTTGAACGCGATGTCAAACCTCACCCCACCTCACTTAGTGAGTAGTTTTAATCTTCTTTTAACAATATTCAAGCTGTGTCATCTCTGGCGCAATAAAAAGAAGAAGATTTAATAGGCTAGGCGACCTCTCTACCAATAAAAAACATATAAAGCATATGGTGGCCCGATTAAGCTGAAATGTTGTTTGAACAATTAACTTTAAAAAACTAAAATGCCGGTGTGTGCCTGAAGTGTACATACATAACATAACACGTCTTTTCAATCTAAGTTTAGATCTACAAAGCTATTTCAATGTTTATAATCTTTCTAACAAATGTAAGTGTCTGAAGTTGTTGAAATATACAGGTAGAAAGAACAATCTAACGAGAAAGTTGCATGTGGCAATCAAAAGCTTGCACTACGCAAGCACCATTATCCGAAGGAAAGTACACGCATTTGAAATCGTTAAATACTTTGATTTAATTAATGTTTTATCGTTTAATCAAAGAAACGTAAGTGTAAGGGAGGTCACTCTCGTCAGGTTTGCCGTGCCACGTAGATATCGCGAGAGGTCGCGAGAAGTTTGGATTTGTTTGCAAGCCCGGCGAGTATTGTGGGGCACCAACCCAAATAATAGATGCGCTGTGCTTCGGAGAGATTTGTATACGGGGCGTGGTGAGTATGAGAGGTAGTGATCCACAGCTGGTGTTTTGTATGAGCCATATTTGGATACTTAGAAAGTGTAGCAGACGCGATTTCGACTGACAGCCGAAATGTGGAAGTGAGAATTGTTCTGATTTCGTGAATGTTGACGGAATGTGGTTTGCACATGTCGTTTCCTGGTAGACGCATAACAGTCACGATTTTGTGCGGATTTAGTTGAATGCGTTATAGTTGTCTAGCCTAGCCAATTGTCAAACATATCAAATATACAGAGTCTTTTTACATACAAGTGATTAACTAAGGCAGATATAGACATATATATATGTAGACATCGGTTTTGTCTATATAGCCTAATTGTTGCCTTTCTGTTCGGGTCACATGTCATATCAGTTTTTAAGTGATGTTCAACAGAGTAAAACATAGTATTGATGATTAATTTAATGAAGATATTTATAATGACAATTATAAACTGATGAGTAGACTCAGGAGAGATGAATATAGGCCTAATGGATGACGAGTTGTATAGACTAGTTAATATCATCTGGTAGTAGATGGAGACTCATGTTTTATTCATTTTTTAGTGCAATATTGGATATTACCGGAAGTGTTCAACTGCAACAAGTGTGACTCATGTGGGCTGAATAATATGGTTGTTTTACTAAAATGTTTACAGATGTATACTATTTACCCAAATCTCTGCTTTGGCATAATTTTCAGCTGATATCTTTTATTGTAGCATATATCATCCACATGATTTATGGGAACTTCATCCATGCTAACCTTAGACAGAAATAGATTTGACAAGTCTGTATCTGGTTGAGCATGTATACATATGATACATGCAAACATGGTGAAATCCACAGTCTGAGCATATGCGGTTCTGTGAAACAATGCCTCGTTCAGTTGTCATGGTTGTACTTGTACTTGTAGTAATCATTTGTTCACTATTTCTAGTCCTTATTTATGGGCCATATGCTTGCCCATGGTTTGCCTAACGCAGAAAACCTGCATAGTTAATGCAATCTAAGGAGAAATATCAATCTCCATTGCATCAGCATGATCAGTCATTACGCAGATCATTCAGACTCCATAAAATCAGTTAATTGCACTATACTGTCTGATTATTAAAATTTGAAACGGACATATCCCTTGACAATAAAATACGACCCATATCAGCTTTGTCTAATGTTGGAAAAGTTGATTTCTGGAAAATGGAACAGCCCTACTGGCCATGCTGGCAAACTCTCAGTTGCAGCCAATCAGAATGAAGTTTCAATAGTTGTCTGGCGGAGCTGTTGTATTTCCTGTCAGTCACTTTCAAGAATAGGTTATGCCACATCATGTAAGGAGTTATAATCTTATATAGCAGGTCCTTTTTCAGTCTATGTCAATCTGTTATCTGCAAATATAACAACAAATATTTGACATTACAAATTACATTGTAATTAGATTAGCAACTGTGTAGAGAGTAGATAAGTACCTACAACATTATTTAAACAGCTTGATTACAAACATGATGATATGTTTTAAATTAAAAACTAAATTCATAAGAAATTTAACATCAGTTAGTGTTTTCTTAAAATGTGCCCTTCAAAAGACATATGACTCCCTGTATTACAGCTAGTGAGTCATAATGACCCCAGTTTTTAGAGGCTAGGGCAGACCCTGCTTGCCTCAGCTACCTGAGATAATCATAGTGAGTGAGTTGGGTTTCACACCCCTTTTAACAGTATTCCAGTTATATCACGGCGTGTCAGCTTCATGTGGGAGGAAAGCCCGAAGTGATGCAGGTCTCAGACGTTTACCACTTCGGTGAAACCTACGAGCAAGGGAATGGTGCTGACAAATCTAAAAACATAATCGGGGCGAACTGGGATTTGAACCCACAATTATAGGTTTCTGGTGTGTCCAAGGGACACAACTCTGCACAGCGAATCACGGTGCCTTAGACGACTGGGCCGCCTGTGCCCACTGTGATAATCATATCTTATCATCATGATCACCACAGCCATAGGCAATGATGTGATCATTCACATTGGGTATTGATAGTTTTCTTTACATATTGAATATATTATACTTTTTTCCAGTTCAGTGGGTTTTGTAAAACAATGAGTAGCCCGTTTTAAAAATAATTCTACTTCTATTATGTTTAGGTAACTTCTAATTAGCATGTGTTACTCTGACTCAGTGAGTTACATGTCGCATAAAATCATTACAGTGATACATGTTGCACATCTGTGCATTATCCACTGTAGTAATGTTCATGTATACATGATACCTGCATCCATTCAGTAAGAAATGACCCGTAAAGAGATACGTATAGGCAATATAAACACTCTTCATGGGTAATGAGTCACAGTGTCATTCTATTATGTTATAAGATTTCTTCATGCCTATTTGTGGGGCGCCGCAATTCGCTGTGCAGAGTTGCATCCCTTGGACATGTCAGAAACCTATGATTGTGGGTTCGAATCCCAGTTCCCCCCGATTATGTTTCTAGGTTTGTCAGCACCCTCCCCGTGCTAGTGGGTTTCACCGAAGTGGTAAACGTCCGAGACCTGCATTACTTCGGGCTTTCCTCCCACGTTAAGCTGACACGCCGTGATATAACTGGATAAATGTTAAACATGTTAAATGCAGCGTTAAACCCAACTCACTCACTCATTCATATTTGTACATGTAGGTAATTTGATAGAGAATTACTTGTTTTAATCAAATTTGAGTGAAGAAAATCTGCTAGGACAGTGTTCTTATCGGAACAGAAATTGTATAGAAAATGTCCATGTGTTTGCAGTATCCTACTGTGCTTACTGTACATGATTCAATAATTTCAAGGTCAAGTTTCTTTTGAATGGAATTTGTCAATGGATATTATTTGCATTTTGTTATTTTTATGCATATTGGATGCACCTTGACCGCACACCCCTATGTAAAACCCCACTCACTCCTTGCTCCTCCTGTTTCAGCCTGTGGTGAGAGGTGATGATGGCATGTAGCACATCTCTATGGAGCCGTTTAAACTGACACTCCAGCAGATAACATTTGACCAGGATCAGTTTGAGTACGCACCCCAGCTCGACTCATTCGACGCTGTCATCAACTACGACTCCTGTTTCTCAACCAATTCCACACCTGCTGCAGCAGTAGAGACCAGCACAACATCGAGTACAACTACTGCATCACCTCTGCTGCACCCAGGAACACAAGGTACGTACATCAGAGCTGCGCATTTAAGTAAAATACGCAAATTGTATCACCGTTACCCAATTGAACTTGAGTTGCTTGTGAACAAATAGGCATGAATTTTTTTTACAAAAATACGACTCCCAACAGTGTGACTCGTAATTACCGAATGTATCCTTTGTGCATGTATTTCTTTACAAATCTTTCTTTACCATGTTTACTGACTGAACATGTTGAATGCAGCATCACAGTATTCACACATACATCAACAGTACATCTGCAGTGAATAATTAATATAAAGGACTCTATGTCTTTCAAACTGGTAACTAGACATGTATATCACTGTTGTGAGTTTATCCAATGTGATACATATTTGGAGAAGGACATGGGGCAGTTGAGTAGCCTAGTGGTTCAAGTGTTCGCTCGTCACGCCAAAGACCTGGGTTCGAATCCTTACATGGGTTACTACATGTGAAGCTCATTTCTGGTGTCCCCCTTTGTGATATTGCTGGAATATTGCTAAAAGCGGCGTAAAACCATACTCACACGCTGGAGCAGTACACGAACAGATCCAAATTATAAGCCACCTGATACAGCGTTTTAAGTAAAATTATTTTCAAAACTGTCTACTCCTTGTGTAAAAATACCCAATAGACTGCATCCAAGGGAGTAGAAATATCAATGTCGACTGTGACTGAAAACCTGTGAGTAAATGCCTCAAAACATTAATTGGAGGCCTGCTTGCTGTTGTACAAAGCAATCTTAGCACTAAGGTGATGGTAACTCCCATACCTTAAAATAGACTTACGACAGTCGTAGAGCTAAGGTTGTTTTGTACAAAGGCACCCTGGCCCATACAGTAGGAATTTAAGGATACACTCTGTCGCAAAACCATGTGTATAACCGTAGGAGTTCCGGGTAAGGATATATTGGTATCTGGCATCCCATGCTTGTCCAAAGAGGCCACTATTTTGGATTGGGTGGTCAGGCAATGTGACTTGTTTGATTGTATAGCATCGTATCCAAACTGTGTGGATTGATACATATGTCAACATGGTCAACGACTGGATTGTCTGGTCCAGACTTGATTCTTTACTGCTGTCATTTGGCTCGAATGGTGCTGAGTGTGGTGATCAACAACGAACACTTAACAACAATCACTGATTCATATCTCGACTGTAACGTTTGGTGGCGGGACATTTCACCAATGCATCAATGGATTAAATTATTTTAGTTTCTGATACAAATATTGATCAGTCACACACTGAGTAATAACTATCGATTCTTACAATTAATTACTGTGACACCAAACATGCCAAATGAACACTAATTAGAAGTGAAAAAGTAAATATTTGAACCAAGTGTGTCATAATTGACACTACCACACACTCCACTGCATATCTTATCAATGGGGGGCACGGGGGGCCCAGTCGCCAGAGGCGCCGCGATTCGCTGTGCAGAGTTGCATCCCTTGGGCACGCCAGAAACCTATGATTGTGGGTTCGAATCCCGGTTCGCCCCGATTATGTTTCTAGGTTTGTCAGCACCATACCCGTGCTCGTGGGTTTCACCGAAGTGATAAACGTCTGAGACCTGCATCACTTCGAGCTTTCCTCCCACATTAAGATTACACGCCACGATATAACTGGAATACTGTTAAAAGCAACGTTAAACCCAACTCACTCACTCACTCTTATCAACGCAGTTGGTATAGAATTACCTCCCTTCTGGTGCTTCAGGGGTGGTGCGGTTGCCTTGTGGTTAAAGCGTTTGCTCGTAACACCAAAGACCCGGGTTCAATTCCCCACATGGGTACAATGTGTGAAGCCCATTTCTGGTGTCCCCCACCATGATATTGCTGGAATATTGCTAAAAGTGGTGTTTCTGGGCTTAATTCACCTGAACTGTTTACCTTGGCGGGGATAATGTTAAACTCATCATCACTGAATTCAGCAAAGCCCGGACCATATGCATTGGTAAAAAAATTCATTTGAAAAATCCTGAAATCCATCACGTCTGATGTGTTGATATCAGCCATGTTGGAGCTTAAACGGAAGTAGTGCGACAGCTTTGTGTAAGTGCGCAGCGAAATGGTAATAAAATCAGACACCATTTCAATCCAAATTGATCATGTCTAATTTTATTGATTGTCCAGTCATATTTGAGTATTTCATGTAGCCATGGTAGAATAAAGAAATATTCTCGACCTTCCTTTGATCTGTAGACATTGATAATAATTACACCTGAGCAAGATAAACATCAGTACTCCATCCATCAAGTATTTTTATTTATCATGTTTATGTTTCGGAATCTTTTTTTATTGTTAAAATGATGAAAAAAGGTTCTTGGATTTAGCAATTCCTTGAACATGTTGCAAACAACCAATCAATTTGTAGGACAGTCCTGACCTTTTTCACGAGTACTAGGTTTGTAGCTCGTCCTGCTTGAAGGAGACAAAGGTTTCTTTGTTTATTTTTTCTGTCAGCTATATTTTAGTTCCAATTTGTAGCAAAATTGAAGCTTTGAGAACTGGTTAAGAATTTTAGCCCTTAAATTCTGCTAATAAATGAGGTCTACCATAATTAGAATTGTACTTGTACTCAGCACAAGTTAGCATTCTCGGGCTAGGTGAATTTCAAAGGCTGGTTATATCTGGAGCTAGTCTTCCTGGGAGTGATATACATGGGGATGCCATGTTAGGATTTAGTCCTTAACAACCTGTGCTTGTCATACAAGACAAATTAATCATGTTAATGGATTGGATGGTCAGGCTCGTTGACTTGGTTGATTGCATGTCATAGTGATGCTCACAGTATCAATCACTGGATTGCCTGTCCAGACAGCGTTGGCCCAGGCAGGTAGATCTTGTGTCAGGCCCATAGTTTCAAACTTGTATGGGTCCTTTTGGCTTGAGTAAATTTTCATATCGATTTATGTATCACAATAAGCTGCAATTTCTGAAATGAGGGCCTGAAGCATTTAGTCAGGCCCTGCAGCCGCTAAAGTTTGTGGGTTCTGATGGCAGCTTTCATGAGAATTTTCAGGCTGCTGTCATGTAGCTGAATATTGCTTAGTGCAGCAATAAACAAACAAAACAACAAACAAAAATTATTGTTTTTTGGCCACCATGATCATGGTGATAACAAACAAAAAACCAATATGACTCAACTCTGTATTTTACCTGAATTTTGGCACGTTGATAACTCTTATGACAATTAGCCTGATGGGTGTTTCAGAAACTGGGGATCCATCATGTACATGTTTGTGTTCCACAATCATTTTAGACCGCCTCCGTGGTCTAGTGGTAGAGTGTCGGCCAGGAGAGCGGAAGGTCCGGGGTTCATTCCCCGTCCGCGTCATACCAAAAGACTAGGGCTGCAACGATACAGGAAGGTCACGATACGATACGCATCTCGATATTCTGGTCACGATACGATACGTATCTCGATAGGCAATGAATAAAAAAACAAGACTTAAAGCATGTCAAGATTGCACCTTTCATGATTTTGGAATAGTCAAAATTGTTTTATAATAACAAGACTACTGAAGTTGTTCAGCTTCAAAGTGGATCTTTCTCTAACTTTCCTTAAAAACAATTCAAAGTTCAAACACCAGAAAATAATTAATGTGCTCCACCAGTGATACAACGTCAAAGAATTTTGATGCAATGGTCGAAGAAATTGTATCTTAAATTATTGTTTTATCAGGAATAATATATTCCAATAGCGTGTTACCTTAGTTGCAGCTTTTATTATATATATATTCAAAATTATAAGAACCACAAGTGTAGCATTTTGGTACTGGTGATTGCTGTTGCAGGATATTTTTACGCATGGAACAATTTGACCAGTCACCCTAGGGACTTCCCGTGCTACATGTATTTCGATTGCGAAAACGTTATGTTGACATATATTAGCCAAATTGCACAAATATGACTTTTAACGAGTCAAAGTTGGCATTTTTAATATATGTATCCATTCTATAGCAACTGAAGTTTGTTTCAATGCGTCAGAAGCGGTAATCGGACTGTGGTTGCTGTATCTCTTCACACACGATTTCACACAACTTAATGAAAACAATATTAAATGAAATTTTGAAAAAACTGTTAAAATATATTACAAACACAAGTCCAGATATACAATGAACACGTTTTAATAACAAGATAGTATGATAATGGTATTGAATTGCGTGCTTTCCATTAGTATTTGCTGACAGGTATTTCCATTGTTATGTGCTTGCGGGGATCAGCTGATAATGTTTTTTGAGATGGGGAAAAACATCTGTCGGTGTAAAACCTGAGCTTATTAAAAATGTAAGTACGTTTTTGGGAGCCCTGCGTGACCGCGCGCTATAACCAAGTTAGCAATTTATTGAAAGGCACAATAGCAAGGAAACGCTGTACTTGAGATTTGCGTTCTGTATCGTGTTGTATCGATAAATGGGCCAACGTTTATCGTATATCGTATCGAGGGTCAAGTATCGGGATGCATCGGAATATCGGTGTATCGTTGCACCCTTACAAAAGACATTAAAAGATGGTACTTGCTGTTACCCTGTTTGGTGTTCGGCATTAAGGGGCTAAAACAAGGACTCGCGGCTCGGAGTCAGTATACTGTGTCTGAGTGGGGTATTCATGTTAAACTGCGTGAGCTAGCACTATAAATCGGCATCAGTCCGGCCAATGCAAGCAGCCACACAAACACACACACACACACGTACATGCACGTCGCTATATGTGTGCAATAATCTTGGACGCGACGTTAAACCACATTTCACCTCACCTCACCTCACCTCACCTCACCTCACCTCACCTCACCTCACCTCACCTCACCTCACCTCACATCACATCACAATCATTTTAAAGGCTTTCTTTATTGAAAATTGCACAAAACATGGGAAACAAAGATACAAAAACCTCGATATCTCTCATATTTCATATCTGAGTCAGAGGTGTATGCATTTCTCATTTATTTGCTATTATCTATTTTGCATATTGTTCCGCAACATCTGTTAATGTCAGCGAA